GGGAGGGGGCACAGCCAGGACAGCTGACCCCAACTCACCAAAGGGATATCCCACACCGTATGGTGTTGTGCTCAGCAATAAAAGCTAAGGGAAGAAGGAGGAAGGGGGGGACGTTCGGAGTGATGGCATTTGTCTTCCCAAGTCACCATTACATGTGATGGAGCCCTGCTTTCCTGCAGATGGCTGAACACCTGCCTGCCGATGGGAAGTAGTGAATGAATTCCCTGTTTTGCTTTGCTTGCGTGCGCAGCTTTTGCTTTACCTATTAAACTGTCTTGATCTCAACCCACAAGTTTTCTCACTTTTACCCTTCTGATTCTCTCCCCCACCCCAGCAGGGGGGAGTGAGCAAGCAGCTGTGTGGTGCTCAGTTGCCAGCTGAGGTTAAACCACGACAAACCCAAACAAAACAATAAAGACAAAAATCACTGGCAGAATATTTGTTTCTCTTATATGATGTTTGAGAAATAGATAAAATAAGACATGGGCCCAAAACCGTTCAGTTGCAACAAGCACAATTCAAACCTCTGTTCTAAACACAGCAGCTGCAGAAGCCCTCTGCAGCAGTTAATCAGCTCAGTTTTCAACCTTCAGACAATCATGAAAAGCTCACTATGAATTTAGTCCTCAAAGTATACTTCTGACATCCTTGAACAAATATAAAAACAAAAAATAAAAAAAGGTTTTTTTAAGGACAAATTTTAAGAAGTATCACCTAGCTTGTGCAGCTAGTGAAAAGTATAGTTATTACATATACACCATCAAAAGTTACTTCTGTCAACATGGGTCATGTCAAAGTAGGGAGCCCATTTCTTTTTAGGTAGACTGAAAGGAGATAGTTGGATAACAGACAGGATGATATATCTTCTATATCTTACTTCATTTAAGTCTCTGATTTCATTTTCTGCCAAAGAAAGAACAGTCAGATTCTGAGGTAGGCAAACAGGGGCAGTGCGAAGTGAAGTTATAATATTTCCATGTAGCAACAGCGTCTATAAAATAAAAATATGGTGATGAAATGTATGTTTGATCAAAACCTCCATTATTTTTCTTCAGGCAATACCTGCACAATACACATAAAAGAGCTATAATTAAGGCTTTCTGGTATCATCAAAATTATTTTTTTTTATTCCAGCAAAGGAAAACTCATTTTTATATTTTAGAGCAAAATCTTCTCATTTTAAAATGCAGAACTGAAGTACAGTCACAGTTACAAAATGTATTTGGAAACATTTTTTCTCTACAGTGTTCATGCCGAGAGAGTTAACGCTATGTTTTCTCCTGATTCATGACATGGGACAAGAGAACTAAGAGCTATGAACAAGATCTCACCATGTTATCTTTATCAAAATCATTAGAGTGGTTATAGAAAAATCACTGCCTCAGTTCCCGCAACTTGAAAACAAGGAAAAGAATTCTTACATGCTTCCCTTTAGAAATTATAGTGATTAATTGAAACTCTTTAAGAGAGAGTATTTGAATAATGAATGCTTTAAAAGGCAGCAATTTTCAAAGCAAATTTCTTTATGCAGAATGTAACAAGTGATTAATTGAAATGCTTTAAGAGCTAGTATTTGAATAATGAATGCTTTAAAAGGCAGCAATTTTCAAAGCAAATTTCTTTATGCAAAGAATGTAACAAAAACAGAGATAAAATAGCATCTACCTTCAGTGACATAAGCTTGGAAACATCGCCTAATTGAGCGATGTTATTGTCTGACAAATCAAGATGTTGAAGAGAGAGACAGGAATTGATTTGTTCCATGGCCTACAAAAATAAAGAAGTCAATTACTCACAGTAACTCTTTTTTTAGTCATTAAATAAAACCAGGTATCAATAATTATAAATTATTTTGAAAGCTAAAAAACACCGGATAAGTAACCCAAAACCCAATTTCATTTTGAAGATGATAATTCTTTTCTTATTTTGGGGACTGTTTCCCAATTCTCATTACATTTCAATATCAAACCTTTTATTTTTTTTCCTAGACAATTCTTGCTCAAAAGTTGCCCTCTTCTATTTCATAAACAAGTAGACACAAAACTTCAACATTTTTTCCAACCAAAACCAGAAACATATTCAGATTTCTTTGCAGCATTTTCCAAATTTCTACAACACTAGATTCTGGAAAATGTATAAAGACTAAATACATTACCTTAAGGTTATTTCCTGCCAAGTTCAGCCATTCCAGGTGCACCAAATCCTTCAGCCCTTCCACATACCCAATACTATTATGAGGCAAGTTTAGCACCCGGAGCTTAGTCAGTTTTGCTACACCCATCATTCGCACCAAACGATTGTTGGCTACAGAGAGCTGCAGATTGACACACAAATAAAAGAAACAGTTTTAAGTATTAAATTGCACAGACAGAATAGGCTTTTATTTTTAGTGGTTAAAAGTCTAATCCAACAGGAGCTACTTCAATCTATGTATTCCATTTTCAAGCAAATAACACAGACACAAAAAAAGTGCAAGAGCCAGGAAATAAATTACTGATCAAAGAAAATAGTCTTCACAACTCACTCTGCAAACTTAAGAGGAAATCTTCCTCCTAGCAATAGCTAAATAAATGACAATGAATGAGGAATCATGTCATATGAAAAGAAAACTTTAAAATCAGAAATCGCCAAATCATTGTGCAAATCGTTGCACCATTCTGGTGTAAAATCATACTTACTGTCAACATGGCAGAGGATAAAATATGTTTCACATGATTCTCAAAAAAGTCCTGTGCTAACAGGACTGTAAATCACAAACTTTTTAAAGGCTAAATCCTGATTAGACATACACATTAATAACATGACAACCAAGCTGGCAGACTGGTGAAGGTTTGTTGTAGCAACAAGCCCCTCCTCTCCTATCTCAGTTTAGCTTCTCTCTAGAAGTTATTAGGTGACTTCAAGTCTATCTGGAGGCACTTTCAGTGATAATTAACATGGACTCGTACAGCTTTGCCCCGGAGGGATTAATACTCCGATTTTTGCAAGCACCACACACATGCTTAACATTGTTATCACTAATACCCTCATGAGCCTAAATAGACTGTTGCTAGTATTAAAATTAAGGATAAGCACTAGCAACATCAGGGCCTACATGAATCGATATGTTAACAAGACTACATAGATCCCTCCCACTTCACATTTTTTTATTTGCTATTTCTATTTTAACCTAATCCACATGGCTTTTTTTCTTCTTGTAAATTAAGGCTACTAATCCTCTTCCTTTGTGAAGAGTTATGAAACCCAAATGGGGAGGAGAGTCCTGTATGTATGTCCACATGTTTACAATCACACAGAGGAAAGATAAAACAAAGTTATTCTTAAAGTTACTAAGCTCAAGTATTCAAAACCTAACAAGTATCAAAATTTGGGTTATCAGTGACTTTTCTAAGTGTTCTTATGACCCCTTCCCATTAGGATTTATTTAGTTCATTTTTAGTTACCTAGGTAACTAGCAAAACAGCCTCCCCCACTATCAACTGTAGAGCTACACTGAAAACAAAGCTTTCTATTTTAGTTGGCCATCGTTTATTTTCCTATGAAGACAGTAACTGCTAACTTACTTCAATTACATAATATGGCCTTAAAGCAGAAGTATTTTAATTAGCACCACAGTACCATTATTTCATAGCAAATTCAAGCCAAGTAACACTAACCTGCATCAGATTCCTGCATTTCTCCAAGTGTTCCAATTTAATTATCTGGTTTTTGTCCAGAATCAGAGTGTGAGTATCAGCATCACAGGGTAAGGTTGGACCCAGTTTTTGCAATCCTTGACCTGACCAGTTGACTACTGAGCCTTTCAAGAAAAGGGAAGAAAAAAAAAAAAGCAAGCCCCAAAGTCAACACTTTATATACAAGAATACGTACTGAAAAAGCAAAGCAAGATAAACAGATTTGTTTTATAATGCATGCAGCTAATTTGCAAATACAAATGAACTTTCTTTTCCATGTAAAACTGTCCTAGTTTCAGCTGGGACAGAGTTAATTTTCCTCCTAGTAGCTGGTACAGTGCTGTGTTTTGGATTTAGCATGAGAATGCAATAACACACTGGTGTTTTAGTTGTTGCTAAGCAGTGCTCACACTAGCCAAGGACTTCTCAGCTTCTCATGCCAGGTGCACAAGAAGCTGGGAGGGGGCACAGCCAGGACAGCTGACCCCAACTCACCAAAGGGATATTCCATACCATGTGACGTCATGCTTGGTATATAAACTGGGGGAAGTTGGCAGGGGGGTGGTGACTGCTGCTCGGGAACTGGCTGGGCATCCATCAGTGGGTGGTGAGCAATTGCTTTGTGCATCACTTGTTTTGTATATTCTTTTATCATTATTATTATTTTCCCTTCCTTTGCTATCCTATTAACCTGTCTTTATCTCAACCCAAGAATTTTACTTCCCCTGCCCCCCCCCGACTCTCTCCCCCATCCCTTTGTGGGGGGTAGGGGGAGTGAGTGAATGTCTGTGTGGTGTTTAGCTGCCTGCCGGGTTAAACCACAACAAAAACTGAAGCAAATTACTTCAGACCAAACACATTAGAATAACTGATCCAGTTACTGGAAGATACGGAATCCAGGCCCTGTCCCACTAGAGAATTCTGGTGCAATTCTGGGAAAGTCAGTAACAAGTCCTCTGAAGTGGGAAGCAAAGCAAAATTTCAGTAAATAAATTTAAAGGTGTGATCCTCAAAACCCCAAATTTCAAAAGCCCCTATATTTTTAAATTCTTCAAAAATTTCAAGTTTTGAGCAGCTTGACAACTACCTACCTATGTGTAGGCACTATCTAAATTCCTGCTTATAGGCAAACCCAGAACATGCCTAGCACACATCTGTAGGATCACACTCTACACACAACAGCAACCATATCTGTCACAAAAAAAAATATTAAAAGGGGAGGGGTCCGGACAAAGGGTAAGCAGCATCTACCCTTTCATCAATCAGAATGTGGGAAACCTGATGCAGATGCAAAGCTACAAACTTCACCTTCTTGGAGAGATCCATCAAACACCCTGCTAAAATATTTGAAGATTAGGGCACTTAACTTGTAAATGTGAAATGCCCATGTGACAGTTCTCAGCCTGAGGAAAAGAAACACCCTTACCACAAACAAGTCCTCTAAAAGCTAGACCATTGAATAAAAGCCTGCAGTTTTCTCTCTTTCCCTTTCTCTCTCTCTGTATTTCAAAGGAAAAATAATATTAGCCTACACCATTTTTTTTTTTTAAAAGGGCAATCTAGGTACAAACTCAACACAGAGGTTTCAACCTGTGAAACCAAAACTGACACCTCTCTGCTGTCAGAAGTTGAATGCTTAAACTTCAGAGAACAAACAAACTTAAGATTCAACCCTCCCTTTAAAATTTCCTATCAGATATGTTAAGATATGTGTCCTTTTAGCAGTTTGGCTGCTGCGAAACATAATCTTAAGTATTTAACTTATTGGGTAGGGAATGTGTCTAATTCAGAGCCAAAGATTCCACTCCAGGACTTCACTGGCCAAATCCTTCAGTGTATCTCACCTTAGGATTTTGGTGCTTGTGTCCTCAAATTGTATTGATAGGCTAAAGTTACATATTCCAGCAAAGTTCCTAGTGAAAAGTCAGAACGAAGAACCCATTCATATAGCCATACTACAGTACAGGTGACATTTGGGCAGGAGCAAATTCTGAATAGGCTAGCATATCATTTAGTTAACAGAACACACAATTAAAATGTTCTATGCAAAAACTGTTACTATATAAAGTTCACAGGAAAACATTTGCCATCTATGGGGAACTTAAATCACTGGGTACCCATGGTGACACCTGCTAATAATAATATTTTTAATATATTAAGCCTCTGCTGTGTGTTTTATATATGCACACCATTCTAACGCTTGCTCATCTCTTGGTATCTGCTCAGTAAATAATGCCACCTTTTTCAGCAGCATGTTCCAGAATAGTGTTCTTACCTTAACATGTACTATATATCAATATTCTTACAGTTTGTAGGCTTTTAGGGTTTAGTTATGCTAAGGATGGAGGCAAACATTTTTGGTGTACCATTCTGTCAACTAGAGAATATGCTTTTCTAAGAAGCATCTCCAATGACATTTATTACATTTCCATTGCTTCTCAAACCCACAGCCACCCGAAGAGCTCTGAAGAGCAGCAAGGCTGAGCCAGTAGTACCAGAAACAGTCACATTCCTGTCTTTGCAAGTTCAGGGAGAAGGTACAGCCTGTTTCTCACTTTAGTAGCCACCTCTGCAACCACTCGATCAACTAAATAGAGGAATTTTGCATCTGCCCGTTTATCCAAGGGCTTGTCACAAAAATTTGCAACTGGCCTGCGCTGACTGAGGAGAGAGGCTAGGACGCACAGGATAGCATCACAGGAGTAATTCTTTTATTCATGCGCATGAGGTGTCCCATTCAAACTGGGGCACCCCGAATGTGGTTTTACACATGGTTCTTATACCTTTATAGCATTCAGGTACAACACAATTTGACTAATCACTACTTAACACACACTACCATTTGCAAAGCAACTATATTTCTATGGCATTGTTATCCACCTGCTTCTCTATTGATCTAGACAACCCTGGAGTCATTTTTGCTATAGTTACTTATCTATGACCAGATAATGGGAGGGTTTCACAGACGTGTTGGAGGGGCTAGGATATTGATGTTATCATCTCAGTTGTTCAGGGGTGTCCTTTACCCTTCATGGACAGCTTTAAGATTCTGAGAATCAGAGGTCCTTATCTCGGGTCAGGGGTGTGTGTGTGTGTGCTATCCTTCTTGTGATGAGCTGGGGTCCTTTAGTTTGCTTGCTTAAGCACAACTATTCAGTACAAAATGTAAACTATATAAATATATATATATTAAGAAAGTTAATACAATTTCACACTATAAAGACTAATTGGTATAATAGTTAGGGAATGAGATTTTCCTAACAGGCTCTCAGTACTCAGGAAAAAGTTTCAGAACTGCTTATTACTCGTTTGGCAGGTACGTACATCAGTAGATACAATGAGGTTCCCACCTCAGAGGCTCACAATATTTGTTCAGGCCTCTGCTCGCTCACTGAGTCCTTAAGCCTCCAAAGCCAGACTTGCATTATTAAAACGCACTGCCCTTTCAGACATAGCTGCAGGAAGCAAGAAACTGCACCCTCAGAGGAGGAGCTGTCCCCCAAGATCTCTCCACCCTCCACTGTAGGAAAAAGGGACCTTATTTCAACTCCTGGCCTACCTCCTAGAAGGCTGCGGGCAAATCCCTCCTTAGGGGCCCAGGCCTCAGCAGGATGGACAGCCCCTCTCCGCGCTCCCCGCCCATGCCTGGAGCCAAACCCGCTGCTGGGCGGCGACCCCCG